GGCTCCTCGCTGGCCACGGTGTCGGTCCACCTCGGCCAATCCAGCGACAAGGATATTTCTCGTCCACCCCCTGTCTAACACCCAGACGGAAATGCGCGGGACAGCCATCGTGTTGGTAGATCATCTGCATCCTGATATTTAGAGGCAGGTCTTCGAGATACTCCCAGAGTTCGGATCTCAAAAAGTTTTCATAGGATTCGCCATTCAGGTTTTCAGGCAAAAAAACGGGTCCAATTAGATATGTATGAACGATTCCCATCCACACGTTTGCCGAAAATCTTCTTTGATGGGCTCTGGGCTTTGCCATGTGGAGATTTGCCTCTCGTGGGGCCCAATAATGTAAGTTGTGATAATTTGTTGTCCCCTCTCTGTCAAACTTAGACTCGTCGGTCCACAATATTTTAGTTAAATAGTCGTTAAACCAAGCTGCTTTGCTATAACTCGTGTAGACGTCGTCGGGTCTCTGCCGTAGCATTCCAGTATTGCCTCTCGATCTTCGTCGTCAAACAACCGAGGTCTACCAGCAAACGAGGAAGTTTTTGCAGTTATTTGTACATTTTCTTTATTATGATTTTTTTGAAAAAAAAGACTTATTAATGTGAAAGTTGATAATAAAAATTTTCATCTAACATTTAAATGAAAATAAATACGTTTTCAGTAGTGTTTTCATATGTTTTTAATTTATGAGAATTATTTATTTAAATAATAACCTGAAACCACCAAAAAAAGAATGTTTAATCACCAACTTTTTTTTATCTCAACTATTTTACTCTGTAATCTGGGTTGTTTTAAAAAAAAATTAAATCTTCCATAATTTTTTAACCTTTGAATATAGGGTATGGTATTATATACTAATTTTGATAGCAAAGGAGCTGTACTATCACCTCCTAAAATGTTTTACACCTATTTACCTGTCAACCTGTATATTAAAGTTAAAAACTTGCTCTACAAGACTTTGAAAAGTATCTTGAGCTTAGTTTATTTTAAAGCGATTTCAACCTTGTTTTTCAGGTCGAAATTTTCGAGCTCTTGGTTTTCGCAAACTATACGTTTCTTCGACGTCTATGATAGCCCATAATTTTTCATGGTATGTGTCTTTGGAGAATTTTAAGTGTTCACCTGGTAGTTTTCGCTCGATTTTCGTGTACGAGTCCGAGCGCTGTCAATGACCCCGTTAAAAAGGCAATTCGTAGGTAAAAGGAACAAAAGTACACCGACTTATTGTGATTGTACGTATGGATTGGAAGGTTGGACGAAAGTGAATTAATGCTATTTATATACAGGTATAGCACTGGGCACAGTGATGACATTTGGGAAGTAATAAAGTGCCTAGCTACTTTCCGACAGCCGATTGAGTAGAATTGTAGACCTAGATTTAATCTTTCAGGAGGTAATTGATATGTTTATGACGCGTTATAATCATTTACGATTGGTAAATTATTTAATAACACGTCCTATTCGAGAAATAATAGCTTCAGGCGATCATACCGGCTTTTCTCCCGGTTGCCTTATACGATTTTTAAAATAACAGCACATCTAAGATCACCTCTTGTTTTAGTCAGCATGTCGTGTTTCTGGATGTTACATGACATGTCAGTTTGTCTGTCTGTTTGTCGGTCTGACCGCTAACTCTTCTAACCGTTCTAGTTTTTTACTACTATCCCAAATACGGAAAAGCTTTGTGAGTTTTAAACCGGATTTAGTGGTGACTCAGCTACGGACAAAAAACGGATAAATAAAAATGTCTTCGTTTTTTGAAATTTTAGAGAGTTCTGATCATTTTCAGAGTTTTGCATTTTTGATATGAAAAATGTTCTATTATTAAGAAGCATTTGCATTTGCTATGTGAGCATCTAGTCAAGTTTCGATCCCAATCGATTTATTTGAATAGGCCTGACATTCTTCTTCTTTGCGTCTTTTTTTGTCAGTGTGTTTGGATGAAATTACATTATTATGTATATACTAGAACGATAATTGTATCTGTCAGTGAAATAATTGAGTTTAGACTTTTATGCTATATTATAATACAAATCGTTTCACAATTGCAACTAACAAACAGACAGCAGCATCTTGCATGTTTGTAAAATATTATAACAGTAAATTATTCCATGACTCACACTTTTTACCACTGATATTGTTTAACAAAAAATGGGAAAAATCAGCTTTATGGACAGCAATTTCCTTGTTATTATAAAATATTTGAATCTCATTTAGTCACAGAATAAACTAATAACTGGGGTATTAAATATTAATCTCGCAAATTTGACATCGGATAAGTCATCCTTAAACATGGCTATGATGACAGTTATTAAATACACAGAACCAAACCTGTTTGAAAGATGATGATTATTCATCACACACTTCACAACAGGTAGGACAAAATCTCTACAAGAGAAAATCGCATTTAGGTAGTTTAAAATGCAAATTAATTCTAAAGAAACGGAATGAACACAAAAAATGTGCAGAATTTTAACAACGCGGTTAGTTCGCGTGCCCATAATAAAGCGATCATGCCACATATCGGTGGCTAAAAATGTTATATAATTAAAATAATACATTATCAACGATCCAGACGATTGAGTGTGTTATGCAATACATGTATGGATTCTTGACGTAGCTGGTGTTCAATACTTTAATGAATATTACATTTCGTTATGATGGTATATGTTACCTTTGGTTTCAGGATTACTATAAAGGCATAACAAATAGCTGTCTATCATGTTGCGTGTTATGTGCCGACACATGTGCCAGACATTTGTTGGGACATAAACAATCTGCACCGTATTGCAGAAGTGACACCACAAAAATGCAACAAGCGAATGCGGTGTGCAACAAGTGCAGTAACTTTGAATGGAACCTTCAAGTAGAGAGAGCAACCCCATTAGGTTTAAAAGAGTGGTGAAAAAGTGTTTGCTGGAAAGATGTTTGTACAGCTTGTGTGAGCTCTATCATTTTATTTTAATAACATTTCAAGTTAATTTTAACATAATGGACTTGTGTTTGTCATTTTAACAGTTTTTTAATATTGTATACATACATGTACAACAAAATTTGGCCTCTTACCCTTGTACATGGAGGGGGTCTTTTACAATTATTGAAATTTATTTCATTTTACATTTGTATTTTTTATTTATGTTTTATATAATAACCATGTGTTACATTTTTTAAGTTATACCTACTTATGGTACCTAAATGTTATTTATATTTAGCATTATGGTATTGTAGTACATTTCTGCTTTTCTTTGGCGTTGCTTATGTTTTTCTAGTAAAATTTTGCTGGCAATAAAGAATATTATTATTAAGTATCTTGAGATACGTTTCCATTATAATAAATGTGGTTCGCAACTCGTGCCACATCATGTGAACTTTGTGTAGTCCGAAACATTGTGGAATAAGTGCCTGGGATAAAAATGCGCCATGGAGTGTGGAGCACGATATGTAGGAGGTGTTCCGAAGGCGATAAAAAATGCGCCATGGAGTATGGAGCACGATATGTAGGAGGTGTTCCGAAGGCGACAGAATAGATACCCACCAGACAAACTAGCGTCAAGTCAAGTTGAATGACTCTGTACTTCTATGAGACGCAATATTAATTTTTACTTTCCACTCCAGTTAGTGAGGATATCTTTTTTGGATATTACATGACTGATTCATAATTATGTCACTTATTTTAATGAAAGCTGTCTATTGGTCTGGCCGACTGCCTACTAATCCTTGAACACTCTTTGACTCAAACAGTACTACTAGGATTTTGATGAGATTTTGACACGGCATTATTAAAAAATTGAAAATGTCTATTGCTTATACACTACTAATTAATGGAGCAAGAAAAAGATCCGAATTTAAAAAAAGTCAAATATCCATATTTTTGGAACTACTAATGAGGTTTTTTATATCTAAATTTATCTAAATCTACCCTAATAACCCTACACGACGGCACATCGTTCGTAATTCTGAAAGCAGGATATTGAAGCTGAATAAACGAGCGATCTGATCCACATGATGACCCAACAGAAAAAAATTCAAGCCCATGGAGTGAAAACAAGAACGTAAGAATTTTGCATGAAAATTTCCTTGCGTCATCTGTTATAATTGCATGAGAACCGTTGGCCCTAATTTTTTTCAGCTATTAAACCTGAATACTAGAATCTTAAAGCTTCAAAATGCCTTTTTTGAGACTAGATACGACCATCTTTCACCGAAACGCAGCTGGTCAAAAATCACCGAAAAATTTGTATTTTTTTGGGTAGTGTATTTCGTATTTCGATATTTCATTTCCAGAAATAACATCATATGTAAATGAATATGTTAAGTTTCAATCCCATTCAACTCTTTTGACTCGACACTCCTTTTTTGAAATTTTCAAATTCATACATTTAACAACACTGTATAGTCAATCTACTTACGTAATTTATTCGTAGATTGACAGCGATGTCGGTGATTATTTCAAAAAGTGCTTATTCTACAAAAACGAACTATTAGATATATATAATTAAAAGCAATCCTTAGAGACAGCAACACTTATTTTTAAAAATAAATGTAAATTTGAAACATTAAATATAAGTTACAAAATTGGACAAAAACAAGATCTTGAATCAGTAGTACCTAAATCAACACTTGCAAAAGACTCGGTAATTTATAATGGTCTGAGAATTTACATTTGTCTCCCTAATGCTATCAAAATAATTAACAATTTAAAGATATTCTGCTGTGACCTAAAAACTTTCTAATATGTAAACCATGTATTATTTGTGAGTTATACAACTTAGCTACTCAAGATCCACATATGTAATTATGTTATAGTTTAGTGTTAGCTTTGCCATTAAGAATGACTGTATTCTGCAGACAATAAAGTATATTTATCTATCTATCTATCTTTTACCCCATAGGGGGAAAGTCAAAGCTGGTCAAGTTAATTTTATTTTCATAGATTTCACCTTCAAAATGCTAGATTAATTGACTACAAAAAAAACATGCAAATTATTGTATAAAACACTTACCAACTGATTGGAAGCAGTGGATATGTCACTGACTCTACCCCAATACATAGGCACTGAATCATACAGCCTATTTGGCTCCCATCCAACAATTTTCAAAAAGTCTCTGGTTCCCACAAACAAGCACTCCCATCTGGATTGAAGCACAAACATTGGACAGCTCCCACTTCTCCCTCGCTAGACACTAAGTTAAAACTTTCCAGGTCAAAGAAATGCACTGATCTGTCCATACTTCCACTAGCCAACAAGAATTCATGCGGATGAAATTCCACACATGTCACTGGATTCCCATGGTCTTGGAAATCTTTCAGTACTCTACCCACTCGTACATCCCAGATTTTCACTATGGAGTCTTCGCCTCCCGTGGCAATCCACTGGCCATCTGGGCTAAATTTGACACTGTTCACTGTGCCTTTGTGACCATTGTAGGTGTATATGGCGCCTTTTTTGCGAGTGTCCCATACTTTTACGGAGGCGTCGGCACTGCCTGAGACTAAGGAGTCCCCGTAAGGGTTGAAATCTATGCATTTTATGGCGTATTTGTGGCCGTTAAGGGTGCGTACCAGTTTAGCTGCTTCTAGATCCCACACCTGGAACAAAAAAAAACATCACGTGATTCTGGTAGAAATAATGAAAAGTGGAGTGAAGGAATTCTATTACAAGGTTACACTGTCACCAGATGCTTTCTATTAGCTAAAAACTTGACAAGCTGCCTACAGAGACCAGATACACCGAGAACCAAACTTGTCTGATGGCTGGAGTTCAATGTGTAAGAGAGATAAGTGTGTGTATAGACAAATATATCAGAAAGAGATGGAAGCTCATCATTACGTTGCCTAGCACCGCTGACTCGGCAATCTGCCGTGTTGTAAATACGTTACAACAGTGCCTTGAATCAAGATGCATGCTGAAAATAAGGGATAGTTTATCCTCTACGCCCAAATAACGGTTTTATTTTGAGCGGACACATTTTTGAATTGGGAATTGTGTCGAATCTGTTTAGGATCGATTCCGGATAGGTCCTAACGGCGGCGCTCCATTTTAGATCGAAATAAAAGGTCAGGATCGCCACAAATTCTGCAACATTGCATCATCGATTCGCTTGGCAACACTGCATTTCGTAAATTCCAAGGCAAGGTTTCCACCTCCATGATTATACGTGAGCGATTTTGGTCAGTACCCATCTAGCGATCATTGGGGAGTGTCGTCCTGTGTCGAAACCGTTTTCACCTGTGTACACGCAGGCAGTGATCATTTGTATTGCATAATGGTATTTGTCGCAAAATGTAACAATAATTCAGGATGAGTTGATTTTATCACTCGCGGTGGAAATCAAAGATTATTCTGAAATAAATTAACACACTAAGTTGCATCAAAATTAAAATAAATAGTTATAATCCAAATGAAACATAATATTAAATGTTCGAACAGACCTCCTTCTTGGGTTTGATAGTAACCTGTGCGAACATTTTCTGGTGTAACATATTGGCAGATTCCACGATCTTCTGCGTCACCGTTGCTAGGCAACGTGGTGATGACCCTCGTTCTTCGGCCGGCATCTATCACTTTCTAACATGTGTAGATACACACTTCTCTCTCGTACACATTGAACTCAAGCCGTCCGACAAATTTGGTTTTCACTGTATGTTGTTAGATGATCATTTTTTAGTTTACTCTAAACTTATCCTGAATATTTCCCTCATGTATAAAAAATGCCATAACAGGTGTAGAATTATCGCAAAATTAAAGCGTAAATCTCCCGTTACCTAGAGTAGAGGAACTTTTCAGTGAAGATTGCCCAGAAGCTATCCAAAACTTCCCTATAGGTCGGTATCTTTAGTTACGATTGATGAAATGTGCATTTGTCATCTTGACATGCATAAATGTCGAATTTTAAAAGTCGTTGTAATGTCACGTTTCGGAAATGATACTCTTTCAACTCGGGAAATACGAGTATTCTACCCAATTACACTCGTCCATCATAATTCAAAGCATGTTGTCAGTAAAAAACAGCATTGGTTGTTTTCATATTATCGACAAAATTTGAAAATAAACTCAAGCAGTTATTAGACAACAAATCTTCTAAGGCATTGGGGCGTTAAACAAAGACTTCACAATCGTTATAATTCCACTCTATGTGCCTCTTTCAGCTAGTTCCTAGGTATGCCACTTTTTTGTTTTCCCCTGTAAATCCCTGGACATCTCAACTTCTGTTGGTACCACACATTCACCGCCACATAAATTCTGTTCACTCTGCAAAGCTTTATAGATGAAATTTTAAGGGCCGACCACTATATGAGCAGACCTTTTGTACTCCCTCTCCCCCAGGACGCATTCCCGACGTCCTGAATATAGTCTAGTGCTGCCACAAGGCTTAAAATTTGATCTATATCATTTCATTCAATATAATATATTTTAATATGGAGAATGAAAAGTACCAATTTCCGTGTATTTCGCTGTGTACCACATGGCAACATAAGAACAACACGTTCGCCTGAGGATCCCAGACTCTATATCAGAGACAAAATGATATCTACAACAGGCAATATCCCAAGTTTAGAATACCTGAACTACAATTAATGATTAATTTAAAATTTAACTTTGTTGAGAAAACGTAAATACAAATGGAGGTCATACATGGCACCAGGAAAGAAAACTTCATTGCAGTGACCAATAATGGGTTTAGCAGAAGTCAAACATAATCAAGATATTTCCATATAAAGGACCATTTTCATTGTTTACTTTATTTGGTTATTAAAAAAAGCCCAAAATTGTCAAAATATATATTTTTCACTATAACTAGGCTAGTATCTAGTATCCCTATTCCTTAAAATAAAAACAATGGTTGCAGAAAACATGGTTTGAAATTACAATGCACCCCAGGAGTAAGAAGTGCAACATAGAATTATGGGAGCAAGTGAATACAGTGGGCTCAGTGAACTGAATGTTCAGTGTGTACTCCATGGCCTCAGTTCTTAACTCAAGTCTTTGTTCTGATTTTGTAGTATTGCAATATATGAGTATATTTTCAAGATTTCATGTTATTCCCCTTATACTACAAGAAGATTCATATAAATGATTGGCTAATTTTAGATTAGAAACTTGATATTTATAATTATTTGTCCCCATAGCATTTTAGAAATGGCATGTTTTTAAGCCTGTTTCAGCACACTTCCTTTAACTCAAAATGAATACAACAGACTTATACTGCAGGACATTGATAAGCTGTATTAAGCAATTGTACTGGATTGTATGTGATCAAAAACTATTTATTAAAAGGTCTATAAATTATTTTTGTCCAATTTTTTAACCTATGGACCTTTTGACTTTAAAAGCATTTTCTAGTTTGTCCTGTTTCTACATCTATCAGTACTACACTATCAAGTTTTGTGACTGTGTTCCATGCTGGCATGGTGCATTATATAGATGCAGCTTTATGTGAATTCTAAATAAATTTTTTCCAACACAAGAGCAAAAAAAGTGAATAAGCTGAATCATGATAGAGAAATTAATATAAACATTCTCTTATCACAATTGAAAATGCAATTTTATCTATGTACAGGGATTTATGACTTTAGGAGAGCGGAAATCATCCATAAATGTTCCCTAGCTAAATAGCATTAAGTGTTTACATGAGAAATTGAACAATTTAGTTTGGTATCACATTGTTGACAGATTTTTTTAAAAATTTCCGAAGTAAGCTCTTGTTGCCATCATATGCAAAACCATCAAAGTTATAGACGTATTATCATGGCATTATTATACCTTCTATGGAATCTGAACTCCAACCAGAATTTTTCTGGATATGGCTAGTGGTACTATGTTCAGTTAAAATTTAAAATGTGTTAAAATATCCACTTGTTTTGCTCATAATTGGAAACTTTGTTTCTTAAACATACAACAGTTTAACTGTGAGCCTCAGAATTATAAAGTTGACATAGGTAAAAAAATACAGTTTGAAATAATTTCATTGTATTTGCTCCTTCTTACCTTCAAAGCTCCAGCTCTTGATCCGGCACAACAAGTTCTTCCAGCTGGTTGAATTGCACACAATCCACAGGTGTGGTATGTCCACTAAGACTCATAAAACAGCTTTTGTTTTCCAATTGCCCAAAGATTCACCTTTTTGTCGTCGCCTCCTGTTACCATCACCCTTCCTGATTTGTGCCCCAGAGCCAAGCCAATTCACATTGGCATGTGTGCCATGAAGTCCTCTGAAAAAATACCACATTGTTAAATGTTATCATACATAGTCTGAGGATGGAAAACATTGGTACAATGATCTCAATTTCTAGGCAATATTAACAGGACATGTGAATGGACAAAGATATACTCACGGAATTTCCATGATCTCTTAGTAATTGAAGCCATAATGGTAACAAGAAAAAAATGTTCCTGTTTCTAGTAGCTGTAATCAACTTTCGTCTGGAAAAAACATTCATTGTAGTTCTTCGTTCGACGACAACTTGCGTTAAAAATAGCACTGGCAATTATAAATAGAAATTCAAACGATTAAAAAATAGAATTCACTGATCTCGAGCATTTCCTTGACATGCTTGTCTCCGCACACACAAATGGCCATATACGGCTTTCTGAATCCTCTAATCTCAGCGAAATTATATGCAGGATTTGTTACTACAGATATACCAAAAAGAACCTATTCTAAACAGTAATAAGGATAACGGTAAAGTTCGATAATTTTTTTAGAAGGACGTTGGTGATCCAACTGCAGCAACAGCAACGAACAACAGTGACAGACAACAACGGACAACGGACTGCGAAATTGACAAACATCACATCGGTCATAACCATATGTTGCTACTCAATCGGTAGCTTAGGAATCCTTAGACAGTTACCTATGAATCTGCTCATTTCAGATCACTTTTTTTGAGCTTTCACTAAAAACTCGTAAGATGATGTCAGTAGTTATAAGTACTGACTACCAAGTCTAAAGTTATGTTCTAGTAACTATTTATGTTATAATAACTAAGTTCCCAAACCGTTTCCGGTTGCCTATATTTTCTACCATCCACAGATGGCAGCAATAGCTGTTTTGAAATATTATACAGTAGTTCCGATAAAAGCATATTTTTCAATAAAATAGAGAACTCCTAAACTTATTTGTTGATGTTTTTGTGGGCCCGTGTAAAGATAACATGACACGCAAGACAACTATTGAAATATACTTTACTAGACTCTAGTAGACTATCCGTAGCGAATTTTTTCTCGAAATCGTTGCACTCTGCTTGAAAATGCAAATGACCTGACGTACTAAATGACCCGTCGTTACCCCGGGATAGACATACAATCTTGTCACTCTTGTAACCTAGATTGCGGGCGTTGCCAGCTCATCGGACAATTTTGCTAATTCTGCTATTTTTGCTAAAATATGAAAAAAAGAAGCTTTGGATAAAATATTGAAGGTTACCAATATAAAATTTGAGGCGTACCAATGTTTGCCAAAAAAGCTAAAAAAGCTGTTATTTACATTTTGCGTCGCCTGGCGTCTATGAGGCGGACCGTTAATGTCTCTCAATACTTTTATAAATGCCTTTTTGGATACGGGATTTCTTCCAATAATGAAAAACAACAATGTTTTTTATGTAACTACGTTTATTAAATGTTTGATCAAAAATTACATGATCATCAATAGGAGAAGAACGATTTCCATTTTACTATTTATTAGTATCCGTCTTATACGCAGAGATATTAGGCATTCATTTTGAGCAAGCTAAAAATGGACACCTGAAGGATTTGGACTCGAATCCAATTTATAACTCGTCGATCATGTGAAATTACAGGCAGACGGAATCAGCATTTTGGGCGCTCATAGATCCCTACTCTTGGACATTGGTGTTCACGTATCCTCCAACAACTGAGGTAAGACCTTGTAGTTTCCTAAACACGGGGCTGAGATTCCAGGTTTGAAACTTCCAAAGAATCAACGGTTGATTTTTTGCACCATATTTACTAAACATAGTGCCAAGAGCTTAGTGTCCAAAGCACGATGTAAAATACTTCAATAAAATAAGTATCCTTTTGTTCCAGGCTTTTTAATAGTTTTGAGAATTTTTCAGAATGAATGTAAGTACATAAGAATACTTACAAGAACGTTAGAATAGAGCACGTTTCTGTAAATTTAGTTTTAAAATAATGTATTAGAAGGTGGCCAAGATAAGGATCAGACTTGGTTAAATCAGTAATAACACAATCTTACATCAAGCATTGTTTGCAACAAAAAAAAACACGTTTATAACTAAAAAAGGGTAACGTGATACATCGTTGAAGTCGTAGAAAAAGATGCTAATATAGTTACAGTGTCGTCCTTTTTTTAAATGTCTGCATTTCGATCACATTTAAAAACACATCATGTAGTGCCATTAGTTCTTCGACTTTTCTTTAAATAAAGTCAGACAAAAATAAAAACGATTTGGCCAAATTGTGTACTATTGTAACGTTCTTTTGTATTCTTATGTACTTGCATCCATTTCTCAAAACTATTAGCAAAGCCTCGAACAAAATTCTATTTTTAGTCCAAGGAATTCGTGATAGTCTATAATTGACAGTATCGTGCTTTGACACTAAGACTTGGCACTATGTTTACTAAATATGGTGTAATAAATGAAGCGTTGATTCTCTGGCGTTTTCAAACCTGAAATCTCAGCCCCGTGTTTAGGAAACTACAATGTCTTAGCTCGGTTGTTGGAGGATATGTGGGCACTAAATGTCCAACAAGAGTAGGGATGTGATGCGTCCAAAATGCGTCTGCCTGTAATTCCACATGATCGACGAGTATAAGTTGCATTCAAGTTATCAAGCTGTCCATTTTTAGCTTCCTCAAAATGAATGCCTAATATCTCTGCGTATAAGACGGATACTAAAAAATAGTAGAGTTTCTTATCCTAAAATAACGTATTCAGATACATTTACATGCCGCCGCATGGACGCCAGGCGATGCAAAATGTAAATAACAGTTTTTGTTTAGTTTTTTGGAAAACATTGCTACGCCTCAAATTTATATCTCCATTGGTATTCCTCAACATTTTATACAAAACTTTATTTACATTCTATCAAAATAGAAGAGGTAGCAAAGTCGTCCGATAAGCTGGCAACGCCGCAATCCAGATGGCAAGAATGACAAGGCAGATGTCTATCCCGGGATATCGATGGTTACTTTAGTACTTCAATTTTCATTTGCATTTTTTTAAGTGTTGTGCAACGATTTCAGCAAAAATTTCACTACTGATAGTCTTCTAGGGTCTAGTAAAATACATTTCAACAATTGTCTTGCGTGGCCATATTATCTTTACTCGGACTGTTTTGAGATCTATTTATAATCAAAATATAAGGGAGAATTGTCAAAAATACGGTGACATCTATTGGGGCTTAGGTGCACTATAAGACCTGAACTACATAACTAGATGACACTACAGTAGTATAACTGTCAAGGTGTCAGCGGACAATCTGACAATTGTTTACAAATGTTTGACCCTTGATAATGTCTAATTTGATTATTCAATATCTCGATAAAATTGAATGCAATTTTATTTACAAAGCAGTAATTTTAAGACTGATAGCATTAAGTGAAGCCTAATACATCGTTGCATGCTTAAACCTGTATAACGTGTGATTTCTGAGTATTTGGTTGTATTCTCAGCTTGTATTTCAAAAATGGAAAGAAACTCCACGTTATTTGATATTTAGGAAGGCTGCATTATTCTTGTTCACTCCACAGTGTTTCGATAATTACTTTATTGATTTCAACTACCTAGATGGTAAGTACTATATTTATTGAACTCTTTTACATTTGAGCTATTGAAATAGCGAAGATACAAACAACACTGGGTCCAACTCAATTAACTATATTTGATTTCTTTAGAAATATGAGGCAATGTTCTTTTTCTTTCAGGGCCATGTTTTTCAGCCACACTAAGCAAAGGCCTGGGCATTGGTATAATTTTGGGCTCAATTATGGTGAAACTCCCACAAATCATCAAAATCCTCTCGAACAAAAGTGGAGAGGGCATCAGCATACCAGGCACTACTTTGGAACTCACTGCAATCACAATCCACATGTCATACAATTTTGCTAAGGGATACCCTTTCAGCTCATATGGAGACACAACATTCCTAGCATTCCAAACAGTGATCATAGCTGCTCTAGTTTTGTACTACAGGGATGCTTTGGCTCAGGCAGTGTCATACCTGTCAATATACTCGGCAATATGTTACACTATGATGTCTGGACTGACTCCGATCTCTTTCCTTTGGTCACTGCAATCTATCAACATTCCGATTGCTGTAGCAGGAAAATTGATCCAAGCTTGGACGAATTATAAGAATGGTAGCACTGGCCAGCTATCTGCGGTGACAGTATTCATGCTGTTTGGCGGATCAGCAGCCAGGATATTCACTTCTATCCAGGAAACTGGAGATAATATTGTAATTTTAACTTATCTTGCTAGCACATTAGCAAATTCTATTTTGGTGTTCCAAATGATATATTATTGGAATGTAGTTGATAGCAAAAAGAAAGCTCAATAAACTAGAATAATTTTAGAATTATTCTCACCAATGTCAATATATTATATTAGTAGAAATCTATATTTCTGCACCTCAGAACCAGACTAGGTTAAGGTATGATAATGTCATGAATTTTCATTTGCTACTACCTATCTGTAGTAATGAAGAAGTTATGACTTTAAAAGGACACATCAATACAAGAAAAATATTTTAAATGCAATTATTCCAAAACAACTCATTTGTACTTAACTAGTCTGGCTCTGAGGTAAAAGATTTAGTTTATTTTCACGCAGTTGCATCCTAAAAATACATGCACACTATTGAATTGCAAATGCAATGAACCTAATAGAAAAGTTATCATACTAATGACATGTCTAAAGAAATTACGCCGCGGAAGGAAGACGCGTCAATATAGAATAGGAGATGGCAGTTTGCATCTTGGGTTGTCCAAGGGCTAAGTAGTTAGATGTGTAACAGTGTGGGCAAATCGGCTCGAAGGCTCGTTGGTTCGAATCCCGGCCGCGGAAGTTACACTTCAACCCATGGATGTTGTATTGTCTCATATTACTCGAAAAGTTGATGTACAACATTAATGATAATTTGAGCTTGTAGTAAAACTGGTGGGAGCACTTCAGCTATTTTTTTTAAATTGTGATGCTTCCTGCATGTACCGGGAGTAGATACCACCTTGCTTATTTGATTGATCACTGTATATTCTCCAATTTTTGGATTCTACGAGGGATTATAAATATGTACATCTCTTGTACATCATTCTAAGTCTAACCGTGTTTGAGATATCTCAAATTTTCCGTGAAAAATGATAAATGCAGGCCAATGAATTATAATTTTTTTCTCGTACTTTTGCTTTAGGAACAAAACCTTGTTTGGGTGCAAGGAAGCCTTGGGCGCGCGTAGTACCGAATCAGTAGGCGACAACCAATGATACGAACCCTTAGAATTCGAATTCGAATACAAGATCTATTTTTCGTCGCAGGTTAATAACCGATTAAGAAATGGTTCATTAGCGTTGCGTGAAATGTTTGCTGAACAACATTTGCTTAACTTCCACGTCTTTCCTAGCTGATGAAGATGCAAATGAATAGTTTCACAACTCACTCTGAACATTTCTGCAAGTTCTTGGCACGTTGTCCTGGAATTTGCGTCCACAACCTGTGGAAGATCCTATCGATCAACAACATCCATGGCAATGTGCGATATACAGCAACCGCACGATCTTATTTAGTTACATGATAGATTGCAAGATATGTATATGGACATATTGGTTTTTCTATCTCGTATATGCCCGATAAGGCTTTTACCATAAGATAATCTAAGTCGGGTCGAATCGTCAGTCGTTCCTACAATTTTATTGTAGGACGCCTTTATAGCCTCCTTGATTTTCATAGTTTCCTACTTCCGTGTCAGCACTCTATTTTGAGGTTATGCTACAGATATTATTTGCATTACATTGTTCACGCTTTTGATTGATATTATCTGTTATATCAGCCTGCAATTTCCTACAATTCAAAAAGAAAATATAGCCTCCCAATAGGAGAGCACTGACCCTGACACAGTACAGTGAAAATCTGGAAATACCCTTTCTGAAGGAGAGGAAATACTATGAAAATAAAGGAGGCCATAAAAGCGTCCTACACTTGTAGGAACGACTGACGATACGGCCCTAAAAGTAGACAGTCTTATACAAAATTAACCTTACTAGTCCTTTTGCAGCTGTTTTTTTGTTTTAGTACAGCTGTGCAATTCTTATTGTTTTTGTGCTGATGGCTACAAATAAATTCTATTATTTTTTCAAGACTTAATTAATACGATGCAGTTTTAAAAAAGTCTCAACTTGAAAAAAATACTTTTAGGTTTTCTAAATACTAATATTTATTCTACCTTTTTCAACCTCCCTGTACTATTTGTTATTGAACTCAGGACTAAAATATAAAATGGGCCCATTACTATAATAAACCCAATACAAATCACTTCGCAAAGGCAAAAATATGAGAAAAAATGTTACTATGATGACTTGCATCAGTCATTTTTTACGCAAAATTTGCGATATGTCAAAAACCGTAACACAGGTATAGGATGATATACATGAACTGTATTTAGCAACTCGCGTAAAATCTAAAAATCGAATAATATATACAGGGTGTTCTATTCGAAATAAGCAAGTTGGTATCTACTCTCGGTACAACTGGAAGTGCCCACCATTTTGAAAATATTTCAGCATAATTGCTCCTATCAGCCATACTATAAACTACCTTAGCTGTCTCACGTCAAGTCGATCGTAGATCTACTTGGAACACCCTCTAAGTATTTCGATGATCAAGTTTGAATGGAGCGTCAGAAATGATCTACGTATACTAAGTTTTATATTTGTGATCTAGACGATAACTTTTTTCAGGTTAAATCGGGTACGTATATTCCGAATCTGATCAATTTGGCCTTTGTGATCCCTGAGGGGGTTCAATTTTTATCAAAATTCGGCCAAAGGATAGTTCGGGATTTCTTGACGGTCATCTATAAATTCAGCTCTCCAAATTACGTAATTGCAATAAGTATGAATTGCTTGTAATAACTGAAAAGGCACCTTCAAATGCTCATAGTCTTTTTAGAGCCTTTTTATCTATATTAGAATCTACTTTGAGGTTAGTGGCTCGTAGATGGCGCTGTAGCTATATGTTCATATATAGTTAGCTACAGGGCCATCGATGAGACCTCTTCAACGTAGATTTACAATTATCGTGAAGAGAAGTAACATAGCTGGGCAAACTCTCATTGATGACGATGGGGTATCTCATTTCATCTCGAATAATTTTTTGGACGCCCGAATATAGTATTAGGTTGCTATCTTCAGGGAGAATACATTAATGGTTAATCAATGATTTACCATAAGTATGATTACCTTTAACCAACAAACCTTGAGTATTAAACATTGACCTTTCTCTTTTTATGCAACGATGCATCCACTCGGGTACAAAAATAGCTGTTAGTATTCTGTATAATGTCCGATATTCAGAACAACTTATAAGAAGAAAAGGGTATGCTCTTGAGAACGCATTTAGCTTACCAGTGACGTATGTTGAGAATGTTTTTTGGGATGAAGCAGCACTAGACTTATATATTTGCAACAAAACTACAGTGAAGAACATAGTTCTTCCGTCATTGTTTGACTGTTTTTTAATGTTGAATTTTTTCTCTACTCAAAAACTGAGTACAGGATGGCATAGACTACCATTTTGAAACATTTTCTGCTCAATATTGCCAA